GGGGCACAGAAGCTCTGGAAAGCCCCCCCCCCCCCACACGGTGACAACCCACCCACTTAGCCCTGAGCCAGAGGCTTAACTTCCTCTGAGCAGAGGCTTAACTGGGAGCCCCCACCACCTCCACCACTGCCGCTGGCATGGATTCTGCTCCAGCCAGGGCTGCTGGGTCCTCCTTCTACGGTGTGACCTTGAGAGACACTCATCCTCTCTGTGGAGTTTCTGACAATACAGTCTGGGGCCAAGAAAGAAGGCCGCCCCTCCTCCCCTCACCCCTACACATACACCCCATGTCCCTCCCTTCCAGTTTCCCAGCTCACTCCCACCCAGCCACCACCCCAAAGGCTTCGTGGAGACGAGAGGCTCGGGGGGCCAAGAGTCTCTGGTCGAGTGGAGGTGGGCTGGGGGCTGGAGGGAGGGGCCAGCTTGGGAAGCAGGGAGGCTTGCTGTGTGCCTCCAGCTCCACCTCTCGTGGGTGACCTTGGGCAGGGCATCCTCTCCTAGGCTGGGCTCCCTCGGCCTCTGATGGACCCGCACTCCTTCTGGTGCCCACTCCTGGCACGGGAGAGTGGATCAACGAACCCCAGCATGCGCCCCAGCCCCATTCTCCCACCCTTCCCTACTGCCTCTGCTTCGTCCTCACTTGAACCTACTCTGTCCCCGCAGCTGCTGATTCCTTCGACCACAAAAAGTTCTTCCAAATGGTTGGCCTGAAGAAAAAGAGTCCGGATGATGTGAAAAAGGTGTTTCACATTCTGGATAAGGACAAGAGCGGCTTCATCGAGGAGGATGAGCTGGGGTAAACTGAGGCCTCGCGAGGGCTGCCCAGTCAGAGGCTCAGGGAGGGGCAGGAGGGGTTGGGACTCTTACTTCCATGTTCCCAATGACTTGCCCTGATCTGTGCACCCTTCACAGCAAATAACCCTGCATGGCCATGACCGCGAGCGTGAGCGGGACCGTAGGACTCAGACCCAGGGAGCCGAGGGAAAATGCTTCCGAGCGCTGTTGCTTCCGGAAGAATAAAACCCTCAGCTGAAAGTGCCACTAACTAGGTTAAATTATAGCCACTTAATATTGCTAATGGAATGATGCTACTTAATAATTTAATACAAACGAGGAGGAAAGTTTTTCTCACTGCCTGACACCACGGGCAAGGCAGCAAGCATTCACTTGAGTGTTTCATTGATTTTCGCTTGTGTAAAAGGCACCGCCCAGCACCCTGCAGACCCCCGCCCGTTCTGCACTGCGGTGGCGAGAGTTCTTTCTGGACAAGCCAGGGAAGCAGAACCAATTTTGGTGGCCGAGGGGTCCTTGGGGCGAAGCAGAGGAGGAGAGGCTCTGAGTAGGAAAATGCAGTGCATCAGCAGGCACCTCCCTCCATAACCCGCGGCCACCTGGCCCACGTCGGCTGCCCAGCTGTGCCTGACAGCACTCTCTGGCCAAGACCCAAGAGCGCCTGAATGTTGTCAGAAAGAGAGGGGGAGGGTGCGAGAGGGGCCTTTCAGATAGGGACTTCTGCACCCATCCTGTCGCTCCCCAAAACCATCCCACGAGGGACCTTCTGTCTGGAACTTCCTTTACACATCCGTATGCAACACACACAAATGCGCACACGCACACACACACATACGCACACGGAGGCTCCAGGTATCGGCCTCTGTGGTACTCGTCCCCACACTCCTCTGTCACCCCACGTGGGAGGGATGCATCCTCCGTGTCCCCCTTCTCTGCTTCTGCCATCATTGTACCCATCAGACCACGTGGTCTTTCTCAGAGTGCTTGAACTCCTCCCCAGTTTTAAGTGGTTTCTGAAGACGACTGCTGAGCCCCCAGTTTCCAGCAGAGCCCTGACACAGAGGAGACACTTCATAGACAATAATCTATGCTGAGTAAATAATCAAGTGCAGGTGCCCTCCCCGAAGTGGGGGTCAACCCCTGGCTGATCACAGCCTGCCCTTCCCTGCACTCGCACACAGCCTGGGCCGGGTGACCAGGCCCCGCACAACTGCACGCGTGCCCTCTGCTTGCTGCCTATCCCAGCCGCCCCTCCCCCACGCGGATGCCAGCCCTTCTCCCACACTGCTCCTGCAAGGTGACCTCAGCCTGACTCCCGCTCCAGCGTTCCTTCCTCCTTCTCCTCCTCCAGATTTATCCTAAAGGGCTTCTCCCCAGATGCCAGAGACCTGTCTGCTAAAGAAACCAAGACGCTGTTGGCCGCTGGAGACAAGGACGGGGACGGCAAAATTGGGGTCGATGGTGAGTACCTGGCCTGGGGCCTGGGTGCTTCGTGGATCCTGAGATGCTTGGGTGCTAAAAGCCGTGTCTGTCACAAGGAAGGGGCCATGAGGGGTCCCTTGCTCCCCAGGACTGGAAAATCGAAGGCAGTCTGTTAGGTCTGAGTGCTCTCGCACATGAGGCCAGGCAAGGAAGAATGCATGCTGTTCTAAATTCTAGCTCCCCGGCATGAATGGTGTTCTCTCCCCCAGCAGCCCTTGGGGATTGGCCCGAATTCCGCCAACCCGACTTCTTGTTGGCTCTGCCCACACAGGCTGTGTGACCTTGGTCAGTGTCACTCACTCTCTGGGCCTCAGTCTCCCATTTGTAATCAGAGGAGCTGAGGCCGACTGATCCCCCAGGACCCTCTGGCTCTCAGTCTCAGATTCCAGGAATGGAAATTCCTTATCTCCTGTCATCCCAGCGTCTGGTGTTCTGTAACCTCTGGTCTCCAAGCCTGTCCTGGCTTTTCTTAAATACACCATTGTAGCACTACAGGAGAGCCGGGAAAACAGCCAGCCAGGAACCAGCTGGGGATCGGGAAAGGAATACCTGGCCCCACCTTGCTCCTCAAGCTTTGCTTAGCACAGGGAGGGGTCGGGTCCCCATCCCACTGACTCTCCACTTAGCCTCCTTGGGAATCCTGTCCGCATTGCAGATGGGCAAACGGACGTGGACATCGAAAGCGCTTGTTCTAGTTCGAAGAACTAGGCTGCAGTGGAGAGGCAGGGACTGAGAACCAGGTCTGAGTAAGTCTCACCAGCGCTCCTGTGATAGTCCTTTCTGCCAGTGTAAGAGAAAGCCATGTGTAGGTGCCTGGCCTCTGGGCCCAGGCTCTCTGGGTTCAAATCCCAAGGGTGCCACTTTCTAGCTATGTGGCTTTGGGCAATTCACAAAACGCCTCTGGGCCTCAGTTTTCTCATCTCTGAACTGAGTATTGATAGTTCTTATCTGCTAGGTTATCTGAGGATCAGATATGCTAACATGTAAAGCGCTTAGAGTAGAATGCTGTGTGTGTACTTGTTAACTCATTGAAAACATAAGGACCGGTCGCATTTACTCTTCCACCTGCAGTCTCTAGCCAACACCTGACTCAGAGGAGTCCTTCATAAGCGTCTGAAGTCCAGACCCACGGCCTGCGGGTGGTCTGCCCTCCAGCCGTGATCTTGAGAGCACCGCCTTTGCCATGCCTCGGTTCCTCTGCCTGGCAGATGGGGTGTTTGAGCCTCTCCTAAGGGTCATTGTGAAAATTAGGAGGCTTTCGACACATAATTACTTGGAGAAAGGTGTAGGGATTCTGAAAGTGGGTGTGCATGATTAAAGTCGCCAGCTGCCGGCTGGGAAGGAGGAGCTGGAGCAGAGGGTGCTGGAGAGAAGGGTGCGGGTGGCTTGGCTGCTCTTGGTGACTCTGGTGAGTGGCAGATCTCCCCGGCCCCCATCCTCACCAAACCACTTACCAGACAGCTCCACCCCAACTCAGGTCCCCTCACCCCAAACCCAGCCCAGGCCCCCAAACCTGCCTCCTATTGCTGTCTGCTGTCAGTAGTGGCCATGGCTTGGAAGCCCTGGGCAGGGTCAGCTACTTACAGATTGGCCATGGCTCGGAAGCCCTGGGCAGGGTCAGCTACTTACAGATGACCTAAATGATGTAGAAGAATCAGGCCAGACCCTGACCTGGTTCCCCACCTCCCTCCCTTCCTGCCCGTCCTCGACCTTAATGAGCAAACTAAGCTTTCCCGGTGACCTCAGCAGCGTTCACGGAGCAGCAGCCCTGTGCCCAGCAGTGGGAGGGGACAGAGGACTCGGCTCCAGCTCGTAGGGCACCATTTCCTGGCCAGGTGCCCCCGAGTATTGACTGTAACCCGGAGCCCCAGCTTCCAAATCTCCCTGGGCATGGTGCCATGGGCATGCTGAGAACAGTGCCCACACGTAGTAAGTGCTCAATGAACAGCAGCAGGGTACTTGCGGTTCCATGTGTGCGTGCACGCAGGCACGCCATCCTACAGGGCAAAGGCAGAGGGTGCAGGCAGCGGGCACTTCACGCAGGTTTGGAGGCCTCG